TAACGTGGCCAAAATTGCAGCTGCATTCGTAAATAAAAGAAAACCTCCACCGTATGGTCGAACGCCGACCTGCAAATAACTGCCTATAAATAATGGTGTGCTCATCCGCAATGTCGTTCAACTGTTTTTGGCTGCAAATACTATTGTGCTCCTGCGTAAAAGAAACCACGCTTTTCTCCTTCTTGCGATCGCTCTTCGGTGAAAATGCAGATCGCTTTGCTTCCCGAAGATATTCCTTCAAAAACAAACTCGGTGATCGAATGATAAAACAATTATTGAACTCAGTTATCGCAAAATATCGTGATTCGTCAGTATCTCGCAGATCTGCTCGCCACTGACAAATCACGATATTTTGCTCAACCTTGTCCAATAATTGCTAACTGTTCTTACTTCTGGAGAAACATTGGTCCCCTCGGGTATAATTTACGCCCTCGAGCAATCCATGCAACAAGTTGCATTTGACCGAGAGGATGTATGAAGGAAAATTTTAAACGGAGTAAAAAGTTGTTAAATATTAATTTATTACTGATATAAAATTGCGCTCGCCTATGACCTGGACGTCTTGTTTTAATGTCAATGTTTTTGTCAGCTCCAGCTATCTGCTGATTCGCCTTTTGTCTTTCCCGGAAAACCCAAGTTTTAACGGTAACTTTTCTCGGAAAAGCTGCAGGGGCTTAGACCGGATTTGTTCCATCTACTTTTCGTTCAGTTTAGAAATGCAGATACTGCAAAAAAAAATGTAAATAGGAAAGATAACGGGGACTGAATAACGATATGAGATAGAATGACATTCTAAAATTAAAACCAATATTGCACCTCTTGTCAGCTTTTTCAGGAATAACGATCGGAGTGTATAGCACAATAGTCCTGCCTAAGTGATGTTTATGACAGCACGGTGTATTAATATCCGACTCATATCTGATCTTTCTTGACAAAAGATAACCTTCAAGACCCACTCAGGGGGTGATTTAATATCATAAAGAAACAGACTATAGAATTTCACAATCTCTATAGACAATTCTTTCTGCGCCAATGGCGTCAACTCGCTCTTCATCAAATCTCCACACCGTTGTGTCAGGTCTTCATCTGATTTTTACAATCGCATCTGTTGCTTTTCTTTCTTTCAAAGTCTATCACCTCGAGTGTGAGCTTTCCTTAATTCGCGGAAAAGTTTTGGTAAGTGAAGGCGACATAAAAGTGACCGAAGTCACCCCGCTGTCTGCAGATTCAAATAATGAAGAGCTCAGAAGTGAAAGAAATCGCCGAGATGATCAACAGAAGCTCAAATCATATACAGGAGACAACCTCAAGGCAGCATGTGTCCAGAAGTTGTTGGGCGATCTTCAGGTATCAAATTGTTTCCCTTTAATTTATAGCATTTTTTACAATTACTGAGCAATCGAGTTGCCAGTTTCCGTTCGGACATATCTAGGTAGTGCGTCAGTGGTGCGAGTGTGCGAGTGTGCGAGTGTGCGTACGTGATTACTAGCCCTGGCACTCATAAACTTTAGAAAAAGCGTAAAAATGTGGAATTAAGCATTGCATTAGAAAAACGCAGCAAATCTTAGACCTTCGGCATGATTTTCTTTGAATCCCAATATACATGACCCGGTGAGTAATTACCCAGGGGGGGTACTCAGGATTTCAAATGACGGGGATGATCGAATGGAGCCAAAAGTCAAGACCCAAAAAAATACGAAAAAGTAGGGGATCATTTGCGGTACTGTACAGAATTCCGTCTTGGGCTTCCGGAGTCTCGGAAGACTAACTATCAGTCGGATGTTCACAGTGTTGCACTAGTCTGCAGTGACTAGTACTATACTGAGTCAACAACTGAACACGCACTCGGCCCACTCCATTACAGTATAGCTTTTTTGAATCTTAGGACCTCTAGCCTCTGGGGGGAGTACTCTCTTACATTTGCCTTATAGGTAACGAATGTGCCGCCCCAATGGGTATGGTTTTTGCGCCTTTTCGGTCTGAAAACGGGTAAAGACTTTTGCCTATTTTTGTTTGAATAAGGGAATGTTTTTCGAGGGAATACTGGAGTGCATGAACGTATTTGTCGTTTTCGTTCCAAATGAATAAGTAAGAAGGAGTAATATGCGAATCTTTTTGTTCGCGTTCTAATCTAAGTAATGATGACATAATTTCTGCCTACGTTAGGTCTGAAAACGGGCATGGATCGAATTTTGGTTTGAAATATTGTCAAGATTTGGAGAACCGGGCGTCACATCCCCAACACTAATTCTTAAGAACACCTCCCACGGGTAGTGTACAAATGCAAGAGATGGATTAGAATGAAAATACCAAATCCGTGGGGAACAAGCTTCCATTTATTTATTACCGAACTTATAAATCTACCTGGAGTTTTGAAAACCGGGTTGCCTGAAATCTTAAGTCAAGTCCAGCACATTGCAGGCAATCTTTTAAAACTTAATTTGCTTAAAGCCCTGAT